TCTCAAAGAATAAGCTGCTTGAACTTAACAGCTAATAAGATGCTGTTATATTTTGAAAAAATGCAGATTCATAAAGATGAGCCACTTGAGCTCATTCAAGTGTCAGTGTCAACCTATTCTGATTATCTTTACATAAATCTTGTCTCTTTCTGAAATATGCAGCTAGGTCACACCACAAAACCTAGCACACATTTATGCCTGAAAAGGTATTAGTAGGTCTTTTCCATTTCAATCATTTTAAAGGTGCTAAACAAGAGAAGGATGATTACTAATTTCTTCCATTCTTAACGTTTTTACCTCAGCAATAATTGTTTTTCTCTGAAATATGTGTGAAATATGAGGATACAGAAAATCAACAGGGAAAGAAAGAAGTGCTGTTAACTTTGTTGGAAACTTGAGTTTAGGAAAGAAATAATACCTTGGTAATTACAACGATTGCCTTTACATTTTCTGCATTTCCCCTGCAACAGTAAAGGCTTCTCCCATTTATTTGCACAGAAACATCAAAGATACTCTCAGGGGATCTGCAGAATTTCAGTGGTCTTTCTTTATTAAAACAAGCTGCTTTAATTCACCTAATATGCGATATGAAATCAATCAGTAATTAGTATCTTTGATCAAAATCTGCACTAAAGCTAATTTATGCAGAATGATTGATTTGCAAACAGCAAATGAAACAGAACATGTTTGAACAGAGCTAATTAGGTGCATATATAACAGTATTTTTTGGGGGGGTGTGTATATTTATAACCATCACCTTTACATAAAATGACCAGTGGGCATTTTCTGATGGGCATAATTTACAAGATATATTGGTTTTGAAAAAAGCTAAAAAGGTTTGCCTCTTCTGAAAGCTGGCTCAAACATGTACCTGCTTCAAAAAATCATCTATTCTGAAACAGACGTAAAGTCTGATGTTAAGAAAATAATCAGAGATGGTATTAAAATCCTACCTCACACAATGTCAGTGCAGGACAGGGATGCTTGCACTGTAAGGGAAGTCTATCAGCTGAAAACAGAAGAGAAAAATATTGCTTTGTTTCTCCAACTTCAGCTATAGTGTCTTTTCAACACTTCATTTGAAATATAACTCTTGTTGACAGAGGCTGGGAAGCAAGCATATTAAGACATCTAAACTTAGCATCCCTTGAGAAGTCTGAATAAATAGCTTTGCCTTTTCTGTCTATGTAGAGCTCCATGTTTGTACCTTCCTCATGTTTTCAAATTCTGCTTTGTTGGAAGCTTTGCCTCCATCTCTCTGAACAAGTCAAGGACCAGGCTGAGCGCTAGGTTTATATCTGAGTATATCCTGGATGTGTCAGTGAGAAAACTAAATGCTTGTTAGCATGACAAAAACATGAGGAAAACTCAGCAGCGGATGGCTTTGGGGGTCAGACCTGCTACACACAGCTGCTTCCCTCCTAAGCATCAAGGTTTGTGCTTACCCACCATCTCAGGAGGGGTCACTCCTGCTCCAATGAACTCTTCCCATCTTCCCTGTGTCCTTTTTTCTCCTGCACCTCCTCTCATGCCCTTCCTGCCTGCTCTCTGTCACAGCTGTGCTGCTCTCATTGCAGCTCCCATAGTGAGGGCAGCACCATAATATTGCAAACATTCAAAACCCTGGCAGCTATGATGCTGCCCTTGAATCTCCCAATCACTCCTGTAGGCACCACAGCTTCAGGGTGCTCATTTTCAGCCTTGCAAACAGTATGGCTGGGTGAGGCTGGCACTGGAGAGACAGACGTGTGAGTGGAAGCTGTGAGCCATTGCTCGGTTTATGCATCGGGTTAGCTAAAACTGCATGTGTGGTGTCACACTGACATCGCACATTTAGGGAGTGATTCATTTCTGGGTGCAAGCTTGTGCCACCTCCACATATTTGCTGAGGAGAAACCTCTTACAGCACTCCCTCAGCACTACTCACTGCTCTCAGCTCAACTCTGCTGCCAGGAGCCCCCACTCCTTTATGTAATTTCAGCACCTCACTTCCTAACTGGAAATACTTTGTACTATAATGTGAGGAGATGGCAAGCAAGCAAAGAAGTGAGAACGCTTCATGTCTTACAATCAAATCCATTTTATTTGGGCAGTATCATGTTTTTCACCCATCCAGCTAGACTAAGTGTGCCTTTGGAATGAAACAACATCCAGCTATACACTGTCCTTCAAATCCGCTTTGCAGAGTGCAAAGAGGCAAAAAGGACAGCGACACATTATGCTTGAAATGCCTTCTGTTTGCCAGTTAGAAACATCCCAAATCAGTGCAAATCTTTAGTCAAAGGGAAATTTTGTTCTGCTAGTGCCAAGCTTTGCATATCAGAGCCAAGCACAAATGCTAAGAGCTGAAGTGAAATCATGCTAGTCAGTGAGGCAGAGCCTGCTTCTTCAAGCAACAGTTCCTTTGAATTAAGGGTTATACCTTGGTCAGCACATTGAACTCTCACTGCGGGCTCTGGGATGCCAAGAAGGAGGTCAAAGAAGTGCAACATTATTAATGTCATGTTTTAAGAACAAACCATTGTCCACTCTGCCTAACTGCGCTTTTGTTCCTTCTCAAACTCCATGCTCATCAGTTACTGAGTGCTGGGGTTTTGCCGTACTGGCTCTGCTAATCATTATATATTTTATGTTGCATTTAGCATTTCATCAACCATGAAAGAACCTGGACTTAAAATGGACAGGTCACAGTGAAATAGAACTTCAAGACAAAAAGAGAAATAGATTTAAGTAGAATGGTCAATTTGAAATAGACTTTTTTCCCTTTGCAATTGAATTTGTGTTCATTTTCAATTTAAATAAGAAATAAAAAATGAAGTATTGAGTCATTACAAGGGCCAGATAACTGTCAGAGCTACACTGGGTTAAATTCAAATTATACTGCGGTAACTGCTCAAAGGTAGTCTGGTTAGAATAGAAGCAACTGAGTAAGCAATGTCTTTTCCTTTCCACTCCCTTTTGTCCTGCTGCAATGCATATAGTTTTTAGGTACAGGAATATAACATTTATTCTAAATTTCTGTGCTTACTTTCAATCCTTACAATCTTACTGATAGTTGCAAATTTGTTAAAGCTGCTCTAAACCCTTCCAATATACTCAGTTATGTCCCAGGGAATAACTACCACCTTCCACTGTAAACCCTTTCAATCTCACTTTTGCAACTTTTAAAACTATCAGCTCAGCCTTAGCGAAGACAGTGTTAGAAGACCCACTGTGGATGGTTCGCAAGGCAAGACACATAATTAAACTTTCTAGTTATTCTCTTAGTCTGTTCCCCAGAAACCCAATCTTCCAGCAGCCAAATCATCTGTAAATGTTATAAGCAGAAAGCATTTTCCTTGTTCCATGCTGGGAAAAGCAAGCAGGCACTAATCCCAAGCATACTGGATACTTATGTCTTCACAGTCCTTGTGTAAATGACACAACATGTCAAGGAATACTTACTTTAACTGCTGCTTACCCACCTTATGGCTTTTTCTGACATTTTACTTTTACTAAGGACAGAAGCATAGAAAACCACGAGGTAGATTAGAAGAAAAGTGAAAAATCAAACAACCCTAAAATCTTACGCATGTTAGTAAGGTAGCATGAATGCTGTGCAAGATAAAGCTATTTTCATCTGCCCAGCACTAAGCCTGCAATTTGGAACCTGCTGTTCATCCTGGTCTCTGATGTAGAAATCAGGAACAATCGTTCTTAATTTAGCTGTTTTGTTAGTAGCAAAATTAATGACACCTGACCTACTGCAGATTTTTGTCTCACAGGTCATGTCCCATTTGGATTCTCTACTTTTAAACAGTGGTGAGCTGACATTGCAGCCTTTACCTCTATGAAGAAAGTAAGTTGTAATTCTCTCCTCTACCCACCTGTGAATTTTCATAAAACTTGATGGAATTTCACACCTTTCAAGTCTTTACCTCCCTCCTGAATTTGCCTGAAATTGGTCAACATATTCAAAAAATGGAATAGAAAAGACAGGGACAAATATTACAGCATTATAAATCTTATTTCTTTGTGAAACCCAGCTAGAAACAAAAGTTAAAAGTGAGGGAATTATTGCAAATACACTACTGACACTTACAGGTAGTGCAAAAAAAGAGTGACACTATGAAGGAGTGGTATTATGACCACTTGTAAGTAAAGTAGTTACTTATTAGTAAAATGCAGGCTAAATCCATCTGTTCCTTCTCTGAGCTTAACACCACTCTTGATTTATACCAGTGAAAGCTCTGCATTGTGAAATTAATAATATTTCATGATGCTTGGCTATAATCAGTCTACTGTGAGGTGCCCATTGGACATTCAACCAAGATTGTTACTTTTTGCAAAGAAAGGAAGGAAATTGTTAAGAATTTCTAAAAATTCCTTCCTCCTTCTTACACCTTCCTTTACCCAGATGCCCCAAAGACTTTCTGTGACTTCCTCACATAAATAAAAGTAAACTTTTTGGGAAGCTAAATCTACAAACAAATCATATATTATCTCTGATCCTGTCTGACATAGCCAGGCAATCTTAAAAGCAAGAACTCTACATTTTTTTCTTCTATTTAACAAATATACTTTCAGGAAAGTGTTCCTGACAAACTTCTTGCACAGGATGAGATCATCTGCTAGGGTGGAGTTGATCATGTAGCTTGTTGCTGCTCAAACTGCTATTTTGCTCTCTTCCCATCCTTTTCCCAGTTACATGGTCCTGGCCAAGCTCTGGCACTTATGTGATTCTGCCCTCGGTCAATTCAACTCACTAAACCAGCAGGAAAGTAAATTCAGTAAAACAAAGCAAGCTGCTTTTCTTTTGACCTGTACAAAGGAAATTACTGGCCCATTCATGCGTCTCCAAAGCTTCTCAGAAGTGCTGAAACAAATGACTAACATTTTGAGGCAGATGAAGCAGTTTTAAGTCAACTGGAAATCCCTGCTTTTCATATTTAATACAGTCTGATACAAAAAGAAAGAAAATAAAATTTTAATTTAATTTAATTAAAATTAATGTTACTTACTATTTGTCTTCTGTTTTCTACCAGGTAGATGCCAACAATCCCTAGGAAAGATCCAAAGCCAAGCTGAGGCAAAGAACAAAACCAACAGAAATGCATGAGGTCAGCTTCTCTGGAAAACATACCAACACATACAGTGATATCTGAGCTAATGTACTACAAAGATGGGCTAAATGGGGTGGGTCAAGGGAAAAGGTAGAAGTTACTGTTGGACATAAATCATGTAATGTAACGGGAAACGGCAAGGACTGCAGCTCTTTCATAGTTCAGTGCAAAATTTGTCATGCAGTAAACAGAAGTCTGTATAGACACACATTGATAAACTGACTACTGTTACCACTGTCATAGTTTTATACCACTGTATAGTTTTACACAAGCAAAAACTAAGTAAAGTAGGAGAAAAAAACACATTTAGTCCACACATCATAATTTTTGAAAATTTCGAAGCTTTAGGCAATTGCAGACAGTTTTTCTCAAAAAACTGATGTGTTCCCCAAAGTTCAAACCCTTACAGTTGTACTTGTTTGGTTTTAATAATTAGACACTATCACACAACCCAGAAAAAAAATCCTTGCTAAAATGCTAAAGGGACCAGTACAGTCATCTGCATCACCAACAGCCACAGGAGAGAGAGGGGAGGAAGGGACACTGAAGTAAGCTGGCCTTAATGTTCCAGTGTTGCTTCAACATTGGGATGGTAGGAAACACTCCTCCTTGTAATGGGCCCATGAAGGTTTGGAGCAGCAGAAACTCCTTGGATTCACAGTTCCAGCCCCTCTCTGCTCTAAACCAAGCTCAGAGCCTCTCCTCCAAGCACAAATTAAGTTTTTAAGGACTGCATGTCCCAGCCAAGGGCTTAGGCAATGCCCGTAAATTCCTTGCTGTTACGCACAGATGCTCGTGGCAGAAACAAATCCCCTGCAAGCACTTTACCCGCTCAGTATCACAGGAGGAATCCGTCACTCGCTTTCAAGAGAGCGACTGTAGGGAAAGGAGATTTGCTCTTGAGTGCTTCGGGAAAATTTATGTGAAAGGGAAGCACAAGGACTAAAAGCAGAGACTTTGAAAGAGTGGGCAAGCACACCCATGCTGACAGCTAAATAGTAGGGATACTTGGAACTGTGAGCAAGGACACTCTGTTCAGGGGACAGCAACTTTGCAAATTAAGATAACTACATCAAAATGACATCTGGTTCCAAGCCCCATTTTTCATTCCAACAGGAACAATCCATAAAACCTCATTTATGTCTGATGCAGGGAACACAAAATGAATAATACCTATTTGAATAAAAAGAATGACCAAATACAGGGCAATAACAATTTAATCAGAAGGATCAGAATCATAGAGATCATTACGAAAGTCACAGCATTACTGAGATTGTTTTAGGATTATATGAGCTAGTTTTTTTCTTTTTAGACAACAGGGAGTTTGGGAATTCTAGGAATCCAGGTCAGTATGGTGCTGGGGACCCTATTGAAAGAGTATAGAAATAGTAATAATATAGTAAGTAGTCACAAAGAAGTGACATTAAATATTTAAGTATAAACAATATTTATAAAGAAATGAGGCTGAAACAGTTCCAGCTCTGTCTTTGCAGACCATTCCAAAAATGCAGTCCCAACAGATGCTCTAATCTACTAAATGCAGACACCTTCCAAAGCATAACATTATATTAACTCATCTACACACAGAAATATTTTATGTTCAATTACTTTGGATGCATAAGTTCAGGTAATACATAGCATTACAAAGATGTATTTTGAAAAAAATATTTTTTCAAAACAAATTATGAGTGACCACATATGCAGGGAAATTAAGGCACTTAACTCTTCTTGAAGCCAGTGGGAACTTGGCAGAAGCCAAAGTGTATTATGGATCTAACCCTGGAGACCTGTTCTGTAAATACTTCTAGAAACAAGTAAATCTCTGCCAGTGGATAATGTTATTCATCTTTGTTGGTGTCTTCAAGGCAGGGTTAATTCCAATGGTTTTTAGGACAAAAATTGCTTACCTAAGGTCAGTGGAGGTTTCACCTCATCTACCAAATGTGAAATTAATATTTTACTACTGAAGTCTATGAGAACTAGAGCTTATTTTAAATTTAAATTAACACTGTCTGTCCACATATTCTTGCTTTTCTCTGAGCCCAGCAGCTAAATACAGTGACAAATTCACTCCCCCTGTTTAGGTATCTGAAGAGTCTGGGATCAGGGCTATGCTGGTTTTCTACGCTCCCTCTGCTGTCAGCAGAGAAGAGAAGCACCTTTTGAGTGCTATTCAGTACATGCTGAAGGAGGTGATGGTGGGAGGGGATTCTGCTCCTCTGCTCTGGTGGGATCCCAGCTGGAATGCTGCCTTCAGCGGGCTCCCAGCATAGCAAGGACATGGCCATGCAGGAGTGAGGATAGAGCAGGGCCACAAAGACGATCAGAGGGCTGGAGCATCTCTTCTATGAGAGCAGGATGAGAGAGTTTGGGTTGTCCAACCTGGAGAAGTGAAGGCTCCGAGGATACCCTATTACTGCCTTCCAATTCCTAGAGGTGCCTTTTAAGAAAACATGATGACATAGGACAAGAGGTAATGCCTTCAAACTGAAAGAAGGTGGGTTTAGATCAGATATTAGGAAGAAATTCCTTACTGTGAAGGTGGTGGAACTGGAATGGGTTGCCCACAGAAGCTGTGAGTGCTCATCCCTGGAAGTGTATATGACCAGGTTGGATGGGGCTTTGAGAATCTGGCCTTGTGGAAGATGTCCCTGTCCATGGCAGAGGAGTTGAGACAACCTTTAAAGCCCCTGCCATTCTATAATTCTACGACAGTCGGTCTGCCAATGCTGCACTGGAGTCAGTCACTTCTGGCAGTGAGGCAGAAACATAACAGTCACACATCTCTGATCAGGCTTTTGGCAATATACCATGTAAAATTTGAATAGAACTTTTAATTCTTGCTAAATGTTTGTGATATTTAATATTTTGATGACATTTACATTAGTAAAAGGAAACAAAGGAGACAAAGGAAAATTATTAATAAAAGGTTTTGTTTTCAAAGTAATCTAATAAATTCTTGCTTTTCTATCTGTTTATTAATGAAAACAAGATTTAAAAAAAATATTTTAGCAGGTGATATGTTGCAGATGAGTGAGCAGATATTGCATTATTCCTACAAGAAACTAAATGCTGAAATAGCCTGTTTTGTACACATGGGTTTATTACTTATTATACTTGTTAAAAACAGCAGTTTAAAAATGAAAACTCTTTCTAGGGATGAAGGCAGATAAAGTGGCCTTACAAAAGATTTTATGTCACATTTTGGAAGAAGAGACCTTTATCAGTATTAATCTATCTATTTTAGCTTAATGAAAGGGAAAATCATTCTGTTAAGGTCTTATTCCTGGAACTACTTTTTGTTCTAATTTTAAAACACTACTCCTTACAGATCATTATCCTAAAATTATCTTTCTGAAAGTCCTGTTCTCAATATAACACTAAGATGTAAGAGGAATTGTTTAGGAGGAACAGTTCTAACTCACAAATTATTAATGGTGTTTGCACAGTATTAGAAGATATTCCCTCTTCTCTGGGCATTTCATTCCATAGAGGGCAAGAAATTATGGTAGCTAACAACATACTTTGGCAGTATTGGAGCCACACACCTAAATAGTGCCTAACTGTAAACATGTGAATTTCTTTCTTCTTCCCCTTGCAGCCTCTCCCTCCCCTTGGTTGACTCAGCCCTTCTCTGTTTGCTCCCCATACTCCTCGTATTTAATTTTTTTTTTTTTTTTTTTTTTTTTTTTTTTTACAGGTATTTACACACTTTGAGATATCACTGATCCCTTCTCCTGAGATCAGAAAGGGCCTGGGGGTTGAGCCAGCAAGGGGCTGGCAGGGTTACTCCTCTCCAGAAGCCACAGAGGCACCCCAGGGTAAAACACGCAGAGCTCGAACCTTGTGCCCACTGCAGAAAGGCTTCTAAGCAGTCTGTTCCCGAGGCAAAAACAAGACTAAGGATTTTGGAAACAGGATCTTGTATGAGAGAACTGGCAGCAAGCCTGCAACAAAGGATGTTAGGGAGAAGTCTCCACATGTCCCTTAGCAGGGCTTTTTCTGCCATGGACACAGCTGAATTCCTGGCACACAGACACAAGAGTGAAGTGGCTCTTCCTTCCATCAAAGCATTAAACTTCTGAAAGTTTGTTCAAATCTATCCCATGCCTACTGTCCAGTCACACAGACTCCCACCTCTAATGGAGACCTGTGGGTGTCTAGCACAGATTTTCACACAGTTCCCTGAGCCCAGCACAGTGCAGTGCAGCCTTGACCTCCTTCTACCCCCTAACAGCCTCTCTTTTGGGGCACTTCGAAATATAATTACCCCCCTGCCTTACTACACAGTAGAACTAGATCAAAACAAAGCAGCATCTCTCTTCCATGAAATGACACAGGACTAATGTCTTCTTTCTTTTTTTTTTTTTTTTTTTTTCCAGTCAGAGCTTCCCATTTACAGCTGATAATAATTTATTTGGATGTACCTAATAGTCTAAAATGGGTTTTTACTTACAACAATGCCTGGGTAGTAGCCTCCCACAGTAACATTTTCTGTTCTTGTGGTAGCTGCCAGACCTATGGTGAGTATGAAAACAGACACCACCAGCAATGCAATTGTGAACCAAAGGGAAGTCTTCTTCCTTTTTGCAAACTGTCCTGTAGAGAGTGAGGGGAAAAAAGAAAAAGAACATTTCATTGCAATCATGGCAGAACAAATACAAAATGATGAAAGATTTTCTTTTGTTAATATTTTCTGTAGAAAACCCTCTGTTCTCCCACTAAGGAAAATTGCTGCCAGACAACAAGAAGGAATTAAAACCCACAGTTAGGTAGAGTATAGCTTAATGCACATGCATTTGGTACAGGCATGAGTTGAGTTTTTATTAAACTGAACTGTAAGTCAGTGACAATGATAATTATGCCTTGTCTTCAGTAGCATTTTTAATTGTTGTTCAAGTTGATGAGATCCTGCAGGTCTTAAATTCTTACCTGTGTGAAGTGTCAATTTGCCTCTATTTGGCCTGAACATAAAAATAAATGTTTGAAACAAGATTAGAAGGTGGTCTGCATGCTATCACGAAAATGAATGTGCTCTCCATGTTTACTGGGGTAAGAAATCTGTATCCTTGAAGCAAAGATGTAATAGTTTATCAGGTAGTGATACATGAGACTTTTCTAGCAGAGGCTGCTCAGTGGAATCCTTTCAGTCTCACTGGGATTTGGACCCAGATACCACAAAGTGAAATCCAGCATGCTCACCTCCAGCTTGCAGGCTGCTCCAAGGCATTAACCTGGTCATCCAGTGGAAGATCTGAGCTGTAGCTAGAGGTTACTCACACCAGGGCCCCAGCCCATAGCACAGACTTATGTAAGTCTAAAAAAGCCATTAATACTCTAACAAAAGACACCCAAGTGAATCAAACTGTGGTCTCCATTTTTGGTGCTCTCACTTTGGAGTATGCAGGATCACCCTGTAGCACTGGGCCACGTGAAGCCATGGTACCATACACTGCACCTGGGCAGGATGGAGCTTCTGAGAAAGCACAACCTGGCCACAGCAGGGCTGGTCTCTCTCCTTCTGTGGCCTCATGAAGCTGCCTGACTGCCTGGCCTCGGGAGAAGGCAGGCACTGCGATGTTGCACTGGAGCCTGCAGGCAGCAGTCCTCAGGAGGAAGGAGGAGGTGAGAGGGGACGGCAAGCTTGCATGGGCCAGGCTCTGGGGGCACTGCGGGAAGCAAAAGCAGGAAAGCCAAAATGAAAGCAGAAGCTGTTTGCAATGAGTCACTTGAGTTTCGTGGCCATTTTAAAGTCATGTAACTCAGTTAAATGTTTATAGTTAAGTTAAATGTTTATAGCCAGGCTAGATCAGTGATGTTTGCAAACCAAGTCAAATAATTTCAATCAGTAAAAAAATGAATTTATAATAACAAGCTGTGTTTGCTGACATTTCTCCAGTAGAGCAACCAGTCAAATTGATTCCAGTCTTTTAGTATGAAATTCAAGCAACTTTCCTAAAGACAAATGCCGTCCATTGATGGTATTAGCTTACACAAGTCTCTCACCAGCATGTACAAAGTCTTCCTGCTAAAGAGAAAGAAATAATTCCTAAGACTCACCAAACACCTCTCCTCCAGTCTATGTCTCTGCTATCTTCCTCTGGCAATTCCCTGTTAATCCATGGAGGGTCACTGGGCACATGGAAGCAGAGGTTTTTGTTAGCAACTAGTTTTTCACCGAGTGTGTGGAGTTGAAGACGGTTCTTTCAATGAAGCCAGTTCACATGGCCAAGAAGGAAAACTAGATTTCAGATGTGCAGCTCCCCAAATCCGCTGTCATTCCTACAGACTAAAATGATTCATTCAATATATCTTCCAGATTGTAAATAATATCTGATGCCCTTGCCATACCTTATCATCTTTGAAAAGTCATGGAGATTAAAGAATCCCCAAAACTGAAGAAAGGTATATGCTCCACCCATTTTTTTAAAAGGCCAAAATGAAGATTGAGGGAATATAAACCAATCAACCTCACATTGGTTCCTGGGATGCTGGGACCAAAAAGGTGGAGTAAGTCTTCTTTTAAGACATTGCTGGGCACAGAATGAAAAGGTGATTGGCAACAGTCAGGATGGATTTACCAGAGCCAAGTTAAGTCTGACCAGCCCAGGTGCCAGCTATGGCAAAAAGACTAGACTTGAGGAGCATTGGATGTCTTTTGCCTTAATTCTAGCAAGGTTTTAAACATGATGCCAACTCCTGAGCAAAGGAAGGAACAATGCATTGCAATGATGTAGGTAAGGCACTGCCAGGCTGCAAAGCAGCTCTGCTGGAAAAGACCTGGGGGTGGAAAGGACTGGGGGCATTCATGATGAGCTGATCATGAACCAGCAGCATGCCCTAGCAACAGAATCCTGGGCTGTACTAACAGCAGCATCATTAGTAGATCAGAGGAGCAACTACACCCATCTATTCAGCACTTTTTAGATGACACAATATTGCACTCAGTTTTGGGCCCTCTGTATAGGGAAATACATAAATTAACTGCAATGAATTCAACAGAGGACTGCAAAGAAGGTCAGGGGCTGGTTCTCTCTGTATGAGAAGAGGCTGAGGGAATGCAGCTTGTACAGCCTGGAGATGAGATGACTTTTGGCAGAGCTAGTTGCAGTCTTCCAATTCCTTTGAGTTGTTGTCAAGAGAACAGACTCAGGCTTTTCATAATGGTGCACAGCAGGAAGAAAAAAGACCACAGACAAACTGAAGTACAAAAGAGTGTTTCAGACTTGGTATAAGGAGAAGAAAAAATTCAACATTAGGGCAGTCAAGCATTGAAATAGGTTGCCCAATAACTTGCGCCCTCTCCAACTTTGGGGGTTTTCAAGATTCAAGCAGAAAAAGCACTAAGCAACCTGGCCTGACCTCATCATTAACCCAGCTTTGAGCAGGAGGTTGGAATTGCAGCTGAGGTACCTTCCTACCTGAATTCTTCTATGGTTTTATGATAGTCAGGACAGGTAGACTAAGAGTGGGTTGGGTATGTGTGCTCATATCCACTGATATGAAACTGCAGCTGCAATGTAGACACGCTCCAAAGGGACATAGGAACACAAACCTTCCCAAAGCCAGTGGGGCACATGATCCTCAACCAAGACTTCTTGAAACCACCAGAAAGTGCCTGAGGAGCCAAGCTACCACAACTTCTTCAGAGTAGCTCCTATACTGGCAAAGGTTGAAAAGATTGGATGGAGATAAACTATGAGTCCAACCCAGCGTCCTAAGTTCTGATTATGAATAATGCAAGGCATGAATTTGATCACCCTGAGTTGCTAGAAAATGTCTTAGGAAAAGCATGCTCATATTTGTAATTGGAGTAAATCTGATGAGGATTTAGTGAGGCAGAATAGAAAAAGATGTCATTATTTGTAGGGACATTTTTTGGTATGATCTGCATTTTGACATTGAAATTTATACATGCCAGAAGAAATTTATAAATGCAATACTCTTCAACCCTCATATTTATTGATCTTTTACCACCTGCATCTCAAAACACAGGCAAACATCCAATTGTATCTCCCCTTTTTGATAGCCTAGGAAACTGATAAATAACCACATCGCTAGCTATGAATTCCACCCTTAGGAGAGATGACTTATATGCAGGAGCACAGAAAGATCCTTTTGGAGAAGACGCTGGCACATGCAAGGACTTAATCTCGAAGACTTCCACATGCTCAGAGAAAAGGGGTAGAAATCAGCCTAAATTGTTTTTTATCACGGCTGTTTGGTTTTCCTTAGTCACAACAACAAAAATCTTTGCTCTATCAAAGTATATATAATTGTATGCCTATAAGCCACCAGTATACTGGGAGGCCTATGTAATATTTGCAAAGCAGCTTAATATCTTCAGAAGTTACTACTCCAAAGGGTTCCCACAATTAAAAGGCTTCCTTTTGCAATTTTAGTCATGTTGGGCCCCAAGATTTTTCAAGTCTTTGTTTACTGCTGTTTGTAGCAGTTGCCATGCAGTTTATTTGGATCATTTTTTAATGTACCTGCTGCCAAAATCCAATGCCAGACTCAGAAGTCCTGTCTCCAGCTCAGGCAGTGTGCCTGGCCCAGCCTTCCTCCCTGACACTCTGTGGCAAGGCTTGGACTGAAGGCTGGCCATACACAAGAAAAGCAGTTAAATTAAGAGCAGAGGAAACATTGCAGTCAATATTTGTAGCCTGAATTTTCTTCCAATGGCCAATGTTCCTGGAGTGCAGGAAACAGTTAATGGAGGCTATTCGCTTTCCAATATTTTAGTACTGAAGTAAGTCTCAGAATAATTTTGACATTTATTACCTTCAACTTCTTTAGCAATGATTTAGTATGAATATTATTAAGCTCCTAGTCTGGACCTTAATGCAATTTAATTATAACTTTAAATTCTTATATTTAGCATACCAAAAACCAAGCTTGTAGGAAGAAACCTTCTCCTATCCTTATTAGCATTAGCTTGTGCCTGGGGTCAATAGAAGGTGTGAATATGTTATTAACATCTACTGGCAATATTCTTCAGCAGTTTTGACCAGTGAAGTATTGACTGAGCCTTGGGCACTGAGTTTTTTGCAGTATTAACTGCAGCAATAGGCACTATAAATTAGAGAGGTAACAGAATTTCCACATGACAGGCTTGTGCTTTGCCTGACACAGACATAAACCGTGCACAAAAAGGAGCAGTCACAGAAACGCTCTCTGCTTTGCTCACTAAAGATCTGTCAGGGAAAGTGTCTGCTTGAGCCCTGCTTCCAGAGTGGAAGGTGAGAAAACACCACCAGGACAAGGAAGAGACACACCAGACTGCTGCCTCCTTGGGACAGAGAAAGGCCCATCAGGGGGAAAATTAAGATCACCCTCCAGAGAGCAAAAAGAAAAAGTGGCTGCTGAAGACCACACTCTACTGCACTCAGAAAAAACTTTTGTCTGTTCGTCAGCTGCAGAAAACAAAATTTTATTACAATGCTCTGTTTGCAATGAGTGGGGGTTAAATTAAATTTGTAGGAAGACTACAGAAAAATAAATGGTTTTTGGGGAGGGTGTGTATGAGACTGCAAAGTGGTGGGTCTAATAATGAATAGTAGGGTCTGGATTTGAACAAAGCAAAGAGTGAGTTTAAAAGGAGAATGAATTAATCAATGATGAAACATGTCCTTGGCACAGAATGTGTCCAGGGGCTGAGAGAAAGAAAAAAAAGAACAAAGCAGCATCTCTCCCCCTTGGAAAACCTCCATACAATCTGCAACTGAACTAAAGTCTACATTTAGACCAAAGAAACTTAACTAACTTCACTACTTCTTTTAAAATCTATCTTCAGACATCATAAAGTTAAAAGTATGGCATAATTTTTGGTGAGGAAAAAAGTCACTGTAGGATGTAGCAGTTATCTGGGATTACAACCACATTTGTTGAATATTAGCACTACACAATTCTATCCCTTCTTCTTTGATCTAGTTATGGTGATCAAAATGGAAACCCTTCTTTCAAATAATACCCCAGCTCAATGTTTATTAGCATTTTACTATGAGAAAAAGAAGGAAACCTTTCTAACAGGAAAAAAATAGTGTGTTTTATTATGTAATGGGTACTACTAAAATTTGTGACATATTTCAGAGAGTGACATTAAGCACACAGAAAAATATAATTTAAGTGGAAATTCACCACTGACAAACCTTAGTACCAAAGGTATGCACTGTTTTGCTGCTATTGAGAAAATTTTTAGGAGATTTTTGGAGCTAGATTATAAGTTTTTAATTACTGCAATGCTCACTTCAGTGCCATCTCTTTCTCAACTACAGTTTTGTGTATTTTAAAAACTGTTTCATGCCAGTGAAATTGAATTAATCCTACATTGCCCTCCCAAATTAAATGTGACGGATTGAGATGCTTAAAAGAGATGCTCACACCTGCTGTTGGTGATTACTTTCCCTTTTCTGATTAAATGCTTGACTTGTCCAGAGTGCTGAACTAATTAAACCAGATGCAACAGCATTCATTTCAAGCCACAAGACAGCAGCTTTTATCAGGCCCATCTCTTACCTTTATTATTAATTTGTTGAGTAAGCTTCTACAAGTGCATTATATATTCAAGACCATGGGAAAGAGTTTACAATTCTACTACAAAATATCCATACTGAACAAAATTTTAAAAAGCCCCGATATACTACATAATGTGGCTATAGTAAGTGATACCATGCAGTATCACTATGACCTCATTGTTTTGGCAGCAATTGTTTCACCAATAAATAATTTAATGAGCAGCTAATCAGTAGTCTAAAGATGGCATACAGATTCTTCTTTTTCCCATGACTACCTGAAAATGTTTTTAAGTTACAGCACATCTTCCATGGCCATATTTTCAACATCAATATAATTCTTCTTCCAAGTTTAAGACAAAAATTAAGATATGGTACATTTTTCACTAGGATGTTAAGATCCTTGAGTGAATAGCAAGTCTCTGCTTATCCTTACAAATGTTAAACGGAGTAATTCCCACCAGTTCTGTATTTTCTAAACTTTAACAAATTCCGCTGGAATAACGAAATACTTGACCTTTCTTTTACCTTTGTATTTCAGGATGTACGCTGTAAACAGAAGCCATTCAATTAGGAGAGCCAGGAGGATGGAAACGAACCCAACACCTGTCCCCAGCCCACCCCGCACCTGCGGGCACCTCCGCCTGCTCCAGCGCAGCCACCGGCCAGCACGATGGCTCCCACATTAATTTCCCGCCCGCGTCCCGCACCGAGCTCTTCCTCCGAATGTTAAACCTCCAGCACAGGGCTTCTCCCTGAAAGCTCCACGAAGAAGAGCCGGTATTTTTAAACACCTCGGCGAGCGAGCGGGTGAGCGGCAGCACGCACCGCGCCGGCGGGCTCGGGCTGTGCCTCCGCTGCGCTGCCGCTCTGCGGGGCACAGCTGGGACACAGCTGGGACACAGCCGGGGCACAGCCCCCACCCGCGCCCTCCCGTCCCGTCCCGTCCCGTCCCGTCCCGTCCCGTCCCGTCCCGTCCCGTCCCGTCCCGTCCCGTCCCGTCCCGTCCCGCCGACTGAAGCGCCGGGGCAGCCCGGCCATCCAGCCCGGCTGCCGCTCTCCCCCGCCGCATGCCCGGGGCTCCCGCAGCAGGTGCCGGGCTCACCTGTGGGGTCCAGCATGGCCAGCGGGCCCGACACGGCGGGGCCGGGCGGCGGGGCCATCATCTCCCGGGCGCCTCGCCCCGCTCCGTTCCGCTCCGCTCCGCGGCCGGCGCTGCCCGGGGCGCGGCGGGTCCGCCCCGCGGGGCGCGGCGGGGCCGGGGCGGGGCGAGCGGCGCTGCCCCCGCCGCGGGGGGACCCGGCCGCACTACCGGCCCCTCTCGCCGCAGCTCCCGGTGCCGGTCCTCGGGGGAAGCACGGACCAGGTCTTTCCTTGCGCAGCCGTCAGCTGCTTCATTCATTGCATCTCCTACCCGCGCCTCAGCCTTGGCGTCACTTCTGGATTTCTTCTTGGCCGATTTGACACCTGGCGGAGATCAGAACTGTCCCAAACTTTCCTTGCAGCTTTCTTCTTCCCTTAAAAAAATATATTTATGTATAAAAATCAGAAATAAAATGCAACAGCAATCAGAAATACTAAGTAAATTACTAAAGCTGGCATCTCAGAGACATAGGTTAAGGCAGGTGTAGGCTAAGACAGGAAATGTCAATAGTCAAGAGATGCTGCAGGGCTTTTCTTTTTCTTACATGGTGTCTATCAATTTCTGAACATCACTGTCTCAGTTTTTATTCCTTCTGCAGATTCCTGACTCTTGTCCTGCTGCTTCCCAGGAACTGCCAGCTGTTGCTTCTAGTGCTACTTACTGCAGGGTTGTGTGACTTCTGCCTGCAAGTCTAGCAACAACTGAGAAGAAACAGCCAAAGACACTGTGCTGTTTTGATGTCCGCTGTTCTTTTCTCCCTTTTGCCTGATTTCCCTATAGCAGAGAACATAATTTTTTTATTTTTTGTGGAAAATGTTCTTGATAGGCTGCCAAGTGCTTTGTTTATGCTGTGTTCTCCCATTTGCAAAAAGCACAACTCTTAACATTCTTGTTTTTCTTCTGTTCCAACCTCTAAATGTATATGTATATATGTATTTAACTTCTTCAGTCTTTGGCAGATTTCCCCAGGAAATGGTTAGATGGAAAAAGACAACTTTCTCACATACTACCCCTGTAGTGTATGAAGATAAGTAAGCAAGGAGCTAAGGCCAAACACAAATTTACTATTTTCTCTTCACATCCTTTAACCTGAAGAGGTAGAAAAAAGGAGAAAAAAATAGGGTATTTGTACTATTTATTACTAGGTTTTAATACAATGCAATACAAGTTAATGAAGTAATAGACTGAGAAAACAGAGATGGTGATGGTACAAATAGGAAATTTGTTTGAAAGTGGTAGTGGATAAGAGTATTACAAATGCCCCAAAATCTGGTGAAGACTCTCAGGTCTGAGGATAGCTATGAATAGAAGTTTTCATCAACAGTAAATAACAGCAAAGTTGGAGAAGACTTCAATTCCATAGACAGATGCAAAACAAAGACCATACATAGCATTTATTATCAGGTCTGATGGGCAATAAGCCTTTTATTCACGAGTAGTCACTGTTCAGACTCAACAGTCTAAAGGGAAGCTGCTCTATAATTATTTTCAGTAAAATATAAGGATATTATAAATCCTTTAAAAATAATTTGATTATAGAAAATAATCTTTGATGAATGACTAGCATTATTTATTGCAAATTTCTTGAGAACCAAGGATATACTACAGTCCTGGATATCAGAGGGGAAACATTGGGAAACTATGAAAAATGATTGATGAGGCTGCATGGACCTAGCATTTGAGCACGGAAGAATAATGGACTTACTTTAAATCCAAAATGAAAAATCCTGTATAGCACTTACATCCCATAAAAGAGGTTGGAATAGGTCAAGAATAATTGTGGAGCTAGTGGATAAGTAACTACCTGAAAATGAATGGACCTACAGGAAATAGGAGAAGTACAGTTTGCTGGATTGCAAACTGCAGGATCAGAGAAAAAAAAAAGGATAAAAATCTAGCTGAACCAGATCTTGCAAAGAAAATGATAACAGATAGCAAAGAATTCTTCAAATAAATAGAAATTATTCAAAGAAGAGAGATATGTGGTGGCTAAATGCCAGGGATGGGATTAAGGCTGTTCCAAATATTGAATAAATACATTGCCTCAGTTTTCAATGAAAAGAAAAAATTAAGATGAGAGTATTTACAGAGAGCATAAAGTAAGCACGATAATGTAAAAGAATATATTAGCTTAATTTAGGCTGTTTCTTGTGGCGGGTCCTGGAAAATCACACCCCAAATGTTGAAAAAATTTGTATCTATCTTGTCAAGTCCTGAGCAGCACTTTTGATGAATCAGTGAAGTTGGGGTTGAAGCGCTGTTATTGGAGGCTGTTGGAGAACAGGAAACCTGTCTTCTAAAAAGGCAGAGGGAGGGAGAGGAACAGCAAATCCATGCCATGTTAATTTGACTGAGAAAATTCTTAGTGAAAAGTGAAAAATGTGTTCAGCTACATTATGGTTCATCAAAGCTAGATCATGTCAGACTACCAAGATGTTTGATAAGGCAAAAGCATTGCAGTGAAGCAAATCTGTCTGGATGTCTACACATTAATAGGGTCCTTTAGAGGAAAAGCCTTAACATGAAGAGGACGGCTGCAAGTATGGGTCAGCATCAGGTAGGGTTATGTGTGTTTGTGGCATATTTGTCAAGATAATGTTTGCAATCTCACCCAAAAAGTGCCTGGTCAGCACTAATCCTGAAGACCTCCATCATGTCCTTGATTTCTTCTCCTGCTTTACTGTGGAACATTGCAGGTTTGAAGAATTTTTGCCTTTTTTCCTACAGGTCATCACTATGGTAGCATATTCTTTGGAAATGAGCTTGGCTACTCGTGAGATTTTGATTCTGTGTGTTCCTGAAATATTTTCTTCTTTATTTTGAACATGATCAATTTGTTTGGTCTTTCTATTCAGGTCATGTTTTCTAGGCTAACAGACATTACCTTTGCTTCCCTCTAGCCTCGGTGTCATCACACTCTTTGTGGGAAACATCTTTCTTTATGGGTGATGCAAAATGACTGAGCAATATTCACAAAATCACTGGTTGGAAGGGACCACAGTGGATCACCTGGTCTGACCTCCCTGCTCAAGCAGGATCATTCTAGAACACATTGTACAGGATTGCATCCAAACAGTTCTTGAATATCTCCAGTGTGGGTGACTCCACAACCAAAATAATTATTTTTCAAAATAATTTTGAATTATTTGTCTAACAGCATAATTCCTCTAAAATACACAACAGTTTCTCCCAACTTTATATCCTATGCAAATTTAATGTACCTTGTATCCAAGGCCATCAGTGACCATACTGAACAATACCAGACAGCACGTCTGCATTTTCTGTCTTCCAGGACCATTGATAGGTATGACTCTCCAGCTGCTTATTTCACTCTTCTACACTATTGTAATTTACACTGTTTCTCTGTAAAGGGTCTGGCACAGTCTCAGAAATCAGTCACAGAGACTACCAGTGGGAAGCAGATTAAATGGCCCCAATGCACTTAATTCTTCACCACAGTACTTGGACTTCTACTGTATTCCTCAAAAAGTCTGGGAACTGTCTCCTCCTCTCATTATTTGAATGCCCAGCAGAAAGATAAGCCAGTCATTGCTGAGACAAAATTCAGGATGTTTAATAAGTCGGCTTGCCCAGTCACACAGGGTCATGACAGCAAGGCAAGTAATTTCCTTGGTTCGTAGTATTTAAATAGTATTTATTGGCATGGTTACTGGTACAGTCCCTTGAGAAGTACATTTTATTAGCTCAGCTGAGCAATATAAGGGAATCATGCAGGAAGTGAAAGAAACAACAGAAGTAGCCCTGAGGCTGAGATAAATCGCCACTGAATATTTGACTAAAATATGGCTATTAAAAAAAATAATTATGGGCAATTCTCTTCAAAAATTCTGATTCCTGGTGCCAGTCAGTATCCAGGGTATGTTTTATTAGCACAAGATTTAAAAGATTCTGCCTGACTTCTTTAAAAGGGACTTGAAAAGGTAAAGCTATTTGCAGCATTGTTCAGAGGCATTAGAAATAAGTGAATTACACATTCATTCGTGATATATGTTTGTCAAAATCTGGTTTACATTCTTTAATTGCCTTCAGTACACTTTTCACCTACTAATTTTTGCAGTCAGTTTTTGAATTCTATAAACTTTTAGCATTCACAGCATGTTGTGACAAGGAGTTCCATGTGTGCTGTGTGAAGACATGGGATACCCCAATGGGAACAAGAGGTAAACTGAAAAGACCAAGATAAAAGTCAAGTTAAATGTCAGGTATACTTAAAGTCATGGGAGAATATACCTGAGGACAGGTACATGGCCCTTTCAAAAACACCCCAACAAAACAACAAGCAAACAATTGCTACATGATACCAAAAGACATTGTGTTATTTACATGTTAATAAAGCTAGATAATGAAAAATGTGGATAATGTACTGGAGACCATTCTTGTGCTGTAGCTCACAGCCATTTCAAGACAACAAATCTGTGAAAACTGAAGTAAAGAAAAGGTTTTCAGAGAAGTACCTGTTTTAGAAATATTATCATATTGATAGAGCCTAAGTTTGTAGAAGCTACATATGTACCTCTGCAATATGATTAATAAAGGTGTGTTTGAAAGGTACCAACAATAGCCCATCAGAAAAATGACTGAAGAAAAAAACAAAGTAGAAATGTCTACACAGAGGTATTTATACAGTCCAAACAGGAACAGATCATCAATTTTTGGAATGCATGAGGAAACTCCTCTGGAAAATGCCTCTTCAATTTCAAAACTATGCCATCACCAAAAGAATAAATCAATCTGGAATGCATGTGTAGTAATGAAATTTTTATCACAGGTATAATTTCAATTACACTTCTACATAGTTAACATAAAGTTTGATTAATTATTTTTCCTAGCTGAAAGCATCTTAAAAATTTCCTTTGATAGCACAGTGAATTACACTCTCCCTTCAAATTAAGTTTTTTGAAGCCCAGAAGTAAGTGAGACATCCTGTACTTTTTCTCATGTCAGTTGGTGCCTTATTTAGTCAGGTGCCCTCCATCCACGTCTGCTGAAGTGACACCAAGTCAAGGACAATGTGTAGTACAGTCTCAGTGAGGGAAAAGAGTTCTTTGTGCCTCACTTCTCCAACCCAGGCAAGGTT